ACTTAAAATGAGCCTATATATTTTACCAATACTTACGCATTTAACGTTAACTTGTGTGGGATACTTTGTCGGGCTTGTAGCTTCACAGGGGGGCGGTGTCAGTTTATGCCACGATTATAAATTTGCCTCAGAGGTCTTTACAGTCTGTACACATCCTCTGTCCAGAAACCCTCACATCGGCACAGGAAAACTCCTGAAAAAGTATTTGATGGGGAGAATAAAGGGAAGAAACCTTTAGTGATACAGAGGAGGATCCTCCCCGGGACGGACAGACTGCGATGGACGTACAGAACGCAGGGACAGGACGACTGGTTGCAATTGAAGGAAAGATGAATGCAGCGAACGTAAAATATGTAACGTTATAATACGTTAAATTCATTGGACAGATTTAAATTATTCAACTTAACATATCTCCTCATATGTGTTCATGATCATCTCCCGCTCGTCAGTAGAGAAAAAAAACGCCCTTCCTATAAGTTTATTTGCTATTATACTGTTAATACTGGTTTCAGTGATAGACTCTTCCGCCTTCTAACGTAAGACGCGCACTTATCCTGATGACTGACATCTGGTTCAAACTAACGAGACAGTTTGAGCGCCGATCTGCCTTCGAGGAACCGAGATAGCATGATGTCGATTTTTATACATCTGAAAATCAATACAAATTTTGATCACAAAAAAAAGTATTCAGACCCCTTGCTCAGTATTGAGTAGAAGCACCCTTTTGAGCTAGTACAGCCATGAGTCTTGGGAATGATGCAACAAGTTTTTCACACCTGGATTTGGGGATCCTCTGCCATTCTTCCTTGCGGATCCTCTACAGTTCCGTCAGGTTGGATGGTGAACGTTGGTGGACAGCCATTTTCAGGTCTCTCCAGAGATGCTCAATTGTGTTTAGGGCTGGGCTAGTTATGAATGGTCAGAGTTGTTCCGAAGCCACTCCTTTGTTATTTTAGCTGTGTGCTTAGGGTCATTGTCTTGTTGGAAGGTGGACCTTCGGCCCAGTCTGAGGTCCTGAGCACTCTGGATGAGGTTTTCTTCCAGGATATCGCTGTACTTCGCTGCATTCATCTTTTCCTTCAATTGACCCCCCAGTCGTCCTGTCCCTGCAGCTGAAAAACACCCCAATAGCATGATACTGCCACCACCATGTTTCACTGTGGGATTGTATTGGCCAAATGACGAGAATTGCCTGGTTTTCTCTACACATACCGCTTAGAATTAACGGCAAAAAGTTCAATCTTGGTCTCATCAGACCTGGGAGTCCTTCATGTGTTTTTTTGGTAAACTCTATGTAGGCTTTCATATGTCTTGCACTGAGGAGAGGCTTCCGTCGGCCACTCTGCCATAAAGCCCCGACTGGTGGAGGGCTGCAGTTGACTGATAGTTGACTTTGTGGAACTTTCTCCCTACAGCATCTCCAGAGCTCAGCCACAGTGATCTTTGGGGTCTTCTTTACCGCTCTCACAAAGGCTCTTCTCCAACGATTGCTCAGTTTGGCTGGACGGCCAGGTCTAGGAAGAGTTCTGGTCGTCCCAAACTTCTTCCATTTAAGGATTATGGAGGCCACTGTGCTCTTTGGAACCTTGAGTGCTGTAGGCATTATTTTGTAACCATGGCCAGATCCATGGCTTGCCACAATTCTGTCTCTGAGCTCATTGGGCAGTTCCTTTGACCTCGTGATTCTCATTTGCTCTGACATGCTCTGTGAGCTGTAAGGTCTTATATAGACAGGTGTGTGCCTTTCCTAATCAAGTCCAATCAGTTTAATTAAACACAGCAGGACTCCAATGAAGGAGTAGAACCATCTCAAGGAGGATCCGAAGAAATGGACAGCATGCGAGTTAAATATGAGTGTCACAGCAAAGGGTCTGAATACTTATGACCATGTGATATTTCAGTTTTTCTTTTTTAATAAATTCGCAAAAATGTCTACATTTCTATTTTTTCAGTCAAGATGGGGTGCTGAGTGTACATTAATGAGAAATAAAAATGGACTTTTTGATTTTAGCAAATGGCTGCAATGAAACAAATTTTAAGTGAAAATTTAAAGGGGTCTCAATACTTTCCGTACCCAGTGTAGATAGTATTAAGTTATTAAGTTAGATAATAATAAAGTTTGAGGTAAAATAAGGAAAGCACTGTAACCTCTCTGTGATACCCTGGCCAAAAGGATACAAGTCACACAAACAGATTTACCTATTCTCTGCTAACATACCAACCACTAAATTTGAATTGAGTGAAAATCAAATGAAACTCCTCGCCAGAGGCAGTGCTTCACACTGGATTATCTTCGGTCTTGCGCATGCGCAGGTCGAGTCTTTATACTTGCCGCGACAACGCGATCCTGTAGATACACGCTCTACAATATCAGGAGAATACGTCCCCTTCTCACTCAGAAGGCAGCGCAGGTACTGATTCAGGCTCTTGTCATCTCCCGCCTGGACTACTGCAACTCCCTCCTGGCAGGTCTCCCTGCCACCGCCATTCGACCTCTGCAGCTCATTCAGAATGCAGCAGCTCGACTGGTCTTCAACCTTCCGAAATTCTCCCACACTACTCCACTCCTCCGCTCTCTTCACTGGCTACCGGTGGCCGCCCGCATCCAGTTCAAAACATTGGTGCTCACGTACCATGCTGTGAATGGATCGGGTCCAGCTTACATCCAGGACATGGTCAAACCCTACATCCCAACCCGCACTCTCCGCTCTGCATCTGCAAAACTACTCGTCCCTCCCTCACTGAGAGCAAAACACTCGACTAGGTCTCGACTCTTCGCTGTCCTTGCGCCGAAATGGTGGAACGAGCTCTCTGAAGACACCAGGACCGCAGAGAGCCTTCACATCTTCCGCCGCAAACTAAAGACACACCTCTTCAGACTCTACCTCGACTAAAGACTAACAAATTGTAGCACTTAAATTGTACTTGTAACGTCACTCATCTATAGCAAATTGTAAATTGGCTTATTTGAGGAAATTGCACTTTCTTGTTTCTTGTTCTCCTGAGTTTGTACCCTATGGTTGAATGCACTTATTGTACGTCGCTTTGGATAAAAGCGTCAGCTAAATGACATGTAATGTAATGTAATACTAACAAAGTCACCTGTGACCTCGTATCGCTGTCATCCTGAGATCAGTCCTACGGAATCTTCTCGCGAGTTCACAGGATTCCGAGTGACTAAGAATTCTGGAGGTCGGCCAGGATTCATAGAACCATAGTTATATACATAACTTTCGTTCTATTTCATCCTTACTGACCGCCAGGGGCAGTGCTTCACACTGGATCACTTATATCAACAAAGTCATAAGGATTACAAGTAACCACCTCGTATGGCTCAGGCAGAGGAATTCAGCCAAAGAACCCTTCCCAGTGGGTGAAGGGGTGGCAACGTTCACTTTGTAGTATTTTGTTAGTGTGCTGCCCTTAAGGCCGCAGCATATATCCGTCATAGGCATACCTCTCAGGACTGCCCATGATGTGTGAAATACTGACAAAGAACTGGTCCAGTTCGCCAAATCGAAGCGGAAACTTCTACACATGCTCTAAGGGCCCGGCCTTGGCACGGTAGCCCTGACCTCGCCTCTCCTGCTGGGACGAGGGGGGTCAACTGAGGCTGGTTGATGCGTGAGCGTGTTCGCACCGTTGGGAGAGACACTGCATTAGGCCACAGCAATTCCAGAGCCAAATGAGGTACCCTCAGACATTTGCTCACCAGCACGGCATGCAGCTCGCGAATAGGTTTAGTGGCTGTGATGGCAAGAAAAGAAATACTCCTTTTTGGTCAATACTCATCTCGGCTCCACCTGTGTCGGGGGTTCAAAAGGCACATTTAGAGTCTCCAGTGCCAAGCTCCTGCAGGGGCTTTTTGGTCACTTAAAAGATGCGATTGCGGAGCCCCCCCTTTTTTTGACAGAGGGACACCAGTCTGTGGCTTCCTGCTGTGTGATGTCGACCTCGGTAGGCTAATAGGCGAAATGGGGCCAACCTATAATCCAATGGTAGAGGGAGACTGGCCCTTATAGAGGAGGGACTTGTGGAAACCCAAGTACAGCAGGCACGGGGCCTTGTACCGGGGTGTTGTTGAGAACGGCACATCAGTTAGAAAACAGTTTTCTGTTTTTTGCCTCTCAGGCGGGTAAATCGTGCCCTGGGATTTAGAATAATCGGTTTGACCGATGTTATGCAACCATCTAGCACCTTGTCGTGTCTTCTCATGGCCAGGTCCATAGATGAAGGCGTCAGGGGTTGGGATGCCAAACCCAGCCCTTCAGTTGCAAGAGGTTCCTTCCGTCGTAAAGAACAGATAAGAGGCAAAGGCCTGAAGGCCATGTGTGAGCCAGAGGATCTTGACCCAGAGCGGTGGTCCTCTCCTTCAGGGAGAACCAGTGGGGGCAGTGGGTCAGCATCACCTCTGGATGCAGTAGCCACTCCTGGCTGGGCTATTGCCCAAAGGCTGGTCAGGCAAAGGCTGCCCAAGTAAGCGTAACAAATTCCGCAAATCTGTTGCCCCCCTTAATATTGTCGTCAAAACACAGCAGAGTAATCAGGGCTAGGGATTTTGCCGGTACGGAGATGTTGGTCAAGACAAAAAATTGTGGTCCACTGGAAGAGGAGGGGCTGGTTCTGTATAACTGCAACTCTCTGGTAGTCACATGTTCCCAACATGAGACAAGTTGAGACATGAGAGAGAAAAACACCACAGTCAAATTCCATGTTCTATGTATGCGTAAGCATTCATAGCGCTAAATTGATGTTCAAGAGGATAGTAATGATGAAGAAAAGGGAAAGCAGCAGGTTTGACCTTTGTTTTTTTTTATTCAGGTAGCAGCACCAATCAGCATTGACCTACTTAAACACTCCTCCCAACCCCCCAAAGACACACACAGAACAGAGTCACACGGTACACAACCACACTCTCCACTGTGATGGCCCAGCCGGTGAGCAGTGCTGTATGGCTAAGTACAGCCAAACGAAGACAAGCAAGAGGCATGGTCTCGGCTGGGCGGCACTACTCCAGAGGATTCTCAAAGGGAACTCCTCCCCACCCAGGTCTCTGCTTCAATCCACCTGTGTGGGACAACCAATCAGGAGCCTTTTTAACCTCAACCAGGGGACACGGAAGCAAGACTGTCTTGAGTTACTGAGGAGTGAGAACCAGACCCACTGCAAACCAGTCTCAGGGTAAGAGGCCTGTGGCCTGTCTTTTTTTTATGGCTGAAGAGAAATAATCGCTGTCTCTCTCTTGCCCCAGGAACAGCCCGACTGACCCTCCGATGGCAACTGCCAGTCCGGTGACTGATTATAACTCATTATAAGTATGTATATAATGCAACACAGACCTCATAGAAAGTGATTCAGAAACCCCTTTTTTTCTCAAGCATTCAATCGTATACCATGGTCTCCATGTAGATGGAATTTGCAGCTGTTTAGTTGCCCTTGAGATGACTGTGTGGGTAAGACTTTTAGGAACTCTCATCCTCTTGAATGAGGTAAAAATGAAAGTGTATTGTTGAGCTATGAAGTAGAACTTTTATTACCTTGTGTGATGTATTTCTTTAGCATAAAAGCTGCCGGAAATGAGTGTCTGAACTTAATGGAAATGTGAGTTTTGAGGAGCATACTGATCTGGTTTTGCACATGTGTAAATGCACCTGTCCTCCCTTGTTAATTGAATTGGTGGAAGTGGACATGACAGTCCCCTGGGATAATGGCAGCTGAAGCTATTTCTACACATATGATCATGATGGATATATGCACTTATAATGGTTGTCTGATCCCTGGCCAGTTTTACCGATATAAGATCTGTGGAATGCATCAACCAATAAAGTTTTTCTTTTCCTTCCGGTGTCAGTTACCAAACAGCTTCACATGAATCAGCACCACCACCAAGATAATATCAATACATTTCAACTGGGAAACCAACATCCTAATGCAATCCCACCAGGACTCATTCCAATTCTTTTCAAGCATCTATAACATTGAATATAATGTTAAATATCACAGTGGAATTTACTTACTGAACATTGACAAATATCTGTCACCTTTCATCCATCCATGAATCTTTCAAATTTTCTCATGTAGTAACAGACTTCCTGATGTTGATGTACAACAGTGATGATATAGTATGATTGTAATATGGTGACATTCAGGCCACAGGGGCTACAGCAATGGCAAAAGCTGGTCAAACCAACATCTGGATCTGTGTGGGGAAAACAGGATAGTTTGCCACAAAGTTACTATCATCAAACTAAAGGCCAGAAAGAGAGAAATAAAGTGCTTCTCTTCGCACTCCAAGTGGTAGATTTTGACAGTTTCTGTTCTCTGCTTCTCAGATACACTACGCCTCCTTGCTCGCCCCATTGGGACTGTAAACCAACTGATGAATGAAACTCTGTGACTGATGCATCTTTGCTTAGTGCTATTCAGTGTGGTGAGCTTCACAAACTGACCGGAGCATTTGCGCAAAGCGCGCTGGCGTTAATTTAAAATACAACAGTTCACTGCACCTGCCCTTGTCACATTCCATAGTGGTAAAAAACAATGGAAACACTTTAGCAGCATGCTCAGGCTGATGTGGAGATACCATGGATATCAACCGCATGGATGACCCCAGCCAGTTTTGCACTTTATTTTCCTTTGTATATGTGGAAGAGGATTTATTTTGATCAGCAATAAAATTTAAATTGTGGGGATATCTTTACCTATTTGTTATCTGGCCTTGCTGGTCACTGTTTGAATTTAAGTAGTAGCATGCTGTCAGTCAGACCGCTGCAGGTGTTTGACACTCAGCAGGTGTGCAACAGAATGTAAGCCCACAATGCTTTACTCACATCTTCAGCTCTCTTAAGCTTTTTGCCAAGCACTGCCCTGGGAGGGACAAATATATAGTCACAAATTTGCTCAATTGCACGAACATACAGGCATACATAATGTCACTTGTTGCAACAGCTCTGTCACTGGCCTTACAAATAGGGCAATGTCTGCTTTCCTTGTCAGATGCCAAGGCCAGTTGTGTCCTCTTTCCCAGCATTTAAACCCACTGCACAGGACAAAGAATAGACATGAAGACCCACACCCATGGTCAATCGTTCAAACAAAGCATCTTCATATCCAGACACGGGGCTGTCTGTTTCCTGCCGCCCCCCTTGCCCATGGAGGGTTTCATAAGTTCAGGGCCGGGGGAATGAGGGTCTCCAGTGGTGGCTAGCTGTTGTTCTCGGCTGTCATATATTTTAGAGCGGCAAAGCCATAGCGCCGCGACATGTTCTGCTGGAACTCCTCCTTCAGGGTCTTGAGGCAAACCCGGTACTGTTTGTTGGAACGGAACTTGGTAATATCGAAGCTTGGCGCATGAGGCATGTGGATCATGTAGGCATTGGGCAGAACCACAAAGTCATACTCCTGCAGAGAGAGGACAGGAAGAGCATCTTCATTACAACACCTTCATTACTCATTCATCAGCTGCATAGACCAGCAGATAAAACATTATTATTCATTGCACTCATTGTTAAGACTTGTTTAATTTTGAAGTCTAAATCTTCTACTTGTCTCTTGGATCCAATTCCGACTAAGCTGCTAAGTTTTTCCTTTAGTTAGCACATCTTTATTAGATATTATGAATCTGTCTTTGTTGACAGGACATATACCACAGTCCTTCAAGGTAGCTGTAATTAAACCTCTTCTTAAGAAACCTCCTCTTGCTCCAGTGGTGTTGGCTAACTACAGACCTATCTCTAATCTTCCCTTCCTCTCTAAGATCCTTGAGAAATCCGTCGCAAATCAATTATGTGACTTTCTACAAAACAATGCTTTGTTCGAGGATTTCCAGTCAAGATTTTGAGTGCATCATAGCACAGAAACCGCACTGGTGAAAATTACGAATGATCTTCTACTTGCATCGAACCAAGGACTCATCTCTTTTCTTGTCTTGCTGGACCTCAGTGCCGCATTTGATACCATACACTATTGTATCCTGTTGCAGAGACCAGAACATTTGATTGGTATCAAAGGAACTGCACTCAGCTGGTTTAAATCCTACTTATCGGATCGATCCCAGTTTGTGCTTGTAAACGGTGAATCCTCGAAGACCGGTGTCCCACAAAGTTCTGTACTTGGACCAATTTTATTTACCCTCTATATGCTTCCTTTGGGTGATCTTATCAGGAAACACTGCATAAACTTCCGTTGTTATGCAGACGATACTCAACTGTATCTGTCGATCAAACCAGAAGAAACTGACCAGCTAGTTAGACTTCAGGAATTTCTTGGAGACATCAAAACTTGGATGACCAGCAACTTCCTGATGCTAAACTCAGAAAAAACAGACGTTATCTTGATAGGCCCAGAGCGCCTTCGAAGCCAGCTGTCACGTGATACAGTTTTTATGGATGGAATTGCCCTGGTACCCATCAGCACCGTCAAGAATCTGGGAGTTCTCTTCAACCAGATAGGACCTTCAACCCTCATATAAAAAAGACTTCAAGGACTGCCTTTTTTCTTCTACGTAATATATAAAAAATCAGGAAATTTCTGTCTCAGAGTGATGCAGAAAAATTAGTTCATGCGTTTGTTACTTCTAGACTGGATTACTGTAATTCTTTGTTATCAGGCTGCCCTTGTAAATCTCTTAAGCCTCTCCAGTTGATTCAGAATGCTGCAGCACGTGTATTAACAAGAACTAGGAAAAGGGATCATATTACTCCTGTAATAACTTCTTTGCACTGGCTACCTGTTAAATCAAGAATAGAATTTAAGGTACTTCTCCTCACCTACAAGGCACTTGCTGGTGAGGCACCGTCCTATCTTATAGAGCTTGAAAGGGAGCCAGAGCCTTCAGTTATCAAGCTCCTCTTACAGGTCCGTCTGACCAAGGCCATGGCCGAGGGCACCCCTACCTCTCTCTCTTGAGGGCAGAGAATAGCGGCGGCTTGTAGTCGTAGGCGCACTGAAAGGGCGACAAGCCGGTGGACGAGCAGGGCAGGGTGTTGTGGGCGTATTCCACCCACAGAAGCATCTTGGACCAGGATGAGAAACCAGTCTGAGAAACCAGGCATTGGATTTCGGGTGGTAGCCCGAAGATAAGCTCACCGTGGCCCCAATCAATGTGCAGAAGGCTTTCCAGAACCGGGATATTGTCAGAAACCACATGAGCAGGAAAAGCCATGGATCCTTTGGAATTTTTTTTCCCGTTTATGTGGTAAGTTGGAGGATGTTGAGAGTTGTGCTTTTGGACCTGGGTTGAATGGGTTTGTTGGCAGCGTGTGCGGTCAACCAAATGGTGGTAACTGGTCTGGCAGTTTGTTTACATCGTAGCCTATGTTTGGGGGTGGTTGGATACGCATTTGTACCGCAGCGGGCCCAATGGCTTTTTCAAAGTTTCGCTGTGCGTAGATTGGTCATAGTGTTGTTGAGTCTTCCCTGGTAGACTATAGTGACGTTCCCCTTTTGTGTTCGTTGAGCGGGGTTGTTTAGTGCTGTGGCGAAAGTGGTTGAAACTAGCTTGGGAGCATGTCCGTCATTTTAGGAGAGTTGTTGGCTTGTTGCTCTGCTAAACCAGCGGTTGTCAGTGCATAAATACCCACCACCAGTAGCTGCATGCAGAATAAGAATTAACTTAGTGGGGTTGTTGTTTAGATAGCAGGGAGACTCCAAACTCAGTTGAGGTTTATTCCTACCTGCGCACAAGGGTACACTTGTTGTGACTTTCTGTTTTGGCTGTCTGCCGTGTAAAGGATTCAATAAAGGTTTTGCATCAAATGATTTGCTTACATCTGCAGAGACCGCAGTAACCATCATCTTTACGAAAGCAAAAACTGATCAAAAGCCAGAGTGTCGTTGCGTCAAATACAAAGAGGATGTCTTCTGTACTGATGTAAGAGTGTGACGTCACTCCATACCACTTAACACTGGAGCAGTGCAATTAAGTTCAGGTAAAGAGGGAAATCAGTCAATCGGCACAATTCAAGTGGGGTGCATCTGTTCTATTTTAAAGCATTAAGAACAAACCCGAACCATAACATAAGTCCTCTATAACAACCTTCTGGTTGTGTCGGTTCTGACCAAAGCTGTTTAACTCCTTCCCTACATTGAATGTTTCAATGTCCATTTCCATACGTCAAGTTAAACTGTACATTTTGAAGAATCATTTCAGTTGAAATATTGGGATTCAACATTAACATGTCTGCACATGTCTGTAATGCTGGTTCTGAAGGAACGATGATAGCAGGTTGTAAAGTTGCCATTTAAAATATATATTGGTTATCAAACGCTATATATGGATGTTGTACTGTTCTCCTGTCGAGACTAAACATAAAGGTTATCGTTACACTGTTTACACTGTAATGTCTTTTTTGTAGACTGGTCAGCCACGGTAAATATTGCTTAGCACATAGTTTCAGCCTCAAAACATCCTTAGAAATGGCTTCACTCGGTCTTTATTAAGATGTATAGGACAGAAAAGGACATGCTTATTATCAATAAGCGGTTTTGCGGTGGAACAGAAATACATATTTGTAAATGTCTCTGCAGAGGAAAATCAATACTTAGTTTGCAAATGTACGTTCATAGTTAATTTAAGTGTTGAACTTGACTATAGAAGTGATGCGTGCCTCAGGTGCCAGCTAAGCCTACATGGCCATTACATTCAAGTAAACAGTCCTCTTTCTAATACCACATCATTTTGAGTTTGCATGAAGTGGAAAGCACAAATGCAGCATTCATTTCACTCATGTTGCAGAAATGGTTATTGTTACGCAGATTTTAATTGTGCACATGATTAGCGATAAGGTAATAAAACCTGATTAATTGGTTGTACTGCCCACCATGAAATATATAGTTTGAATATGCTCATCTTGGACCAAGTGATGCATTGCCATGCCTCTTGGCGCAATGTCTCACCAGTATTGTTATTATTAGACTATGATTTTTAATAAACACAACTCATCGATATTTCTTTTTCTGCACAAATTCACCATGTGTTTTTAGGACTCTTTGGTTTGGAGTCGGCTAATATTTCCACCCGCAGTAATCTCTTCCCAGTCAACTGCAAACCATGAGTACCATACAGTACACACAAACAAAATTCTGTATGTTCATCTCTTAACGTTGCATTTCAACAATTATACAAATGGCATCCTCTATTGATATATTTGGTGCCACTTGAGTGATAAGATCAAAACTAATCCTCCTCTAGGATTATCATATTATCAGCTGATACTGGCTATGTTCCCCCAGGACCCAAGGATAAACAGTTACAGATAATATGGATGGAATTTCATTGAAAAATCGATAGACAGATGTTGAGTATTTCATTCCAACCGGACCTTAGCCTCATCATAATTAGATTCACAATAACTTACTGTGAAGCACATGTGGGAAGCACCAAGCTGATTTAATTGGATTACTGATAATTACTTATGTTTATAGAATTTACAACAATAATGTTATTATTTAGAGATGTTTTTGCATGAACTGCAAACACTATAAATTAAAGCACAGAGATGAAGTTTACAGAGAAATTAAGCAGACAGTTTATACAGGTAGATAGAAAGTAAGTTACTTGTGCATCCAGCTCCATGATGTGCGCAACCTTGTTCCAGCCAAAGCCCACAAAGCGGCGGTCATATTCAGGACTATCCCTCCTAACCATGACGTAAGGCTCAAAGTCGGCTTCCCACTGCACCCTGTAGGGCGTAGTGGCTGTGCGCCACTTGGCAAAGTTAGTTGGTGCATGGCCTTTAGTCCAAACATGGTACCTAGCGGGAGAGAGAGGAAGCGGTTTTATCATTAACATTGTGTAAGAGGAAAATGTTCAAAATCGTCCTGGATTACTCAACACACACTTCTAAGGCCCAATCCCACTCTCTCCCCTAAACCGTGAACATTTAGGGACTTAACTGACGTCCCCTGGTAAATGTTCGCGTGAGTCTGTGAGGGTTTGAAATGGTGTAAATATGAATGGGACAGCACTAGTCTGCACACGTCACATCACCCAGACAACCTCAAACAATTTGAATATTGTTCAGGCGCTATCCTCCTAAAATGAGAGATCATTTTGAAATTTGTTTCATGATGTTTGTTGTTTTTTGCAGTCAGTTAGATTGGAGAGACCGAGACGGTTGTTGCAGATGAGAGCTTTTTGCATAGTAAGTTGAATGAACAGAGGCTCAACATACAGCGAAGAATGTCATAACGCAAGGCACACAGACTTCTGTAGGCACCGATAGTGCCCGGAACATGTTCGTAGCTAGTAGGCTACCTCCATCTGCACCCTGCGTGGCGCACAGCCTACAGAGGACCAAAATTGTGTCCCTAAAAGACAGTGGTTTGGAAAACGTCCTGGTTAAATGATAGCACTTCAAACACAGCCGTCAAATGATGGAGAGTTAAGAGTACAGCGAAGTGCACGAGGATAGCAGAAAGAGATGCTAGTTCAAAATGCTCCCCGGTGGAATTCTGCTTTTGGAGAGATTTGTGTGTAGTTTTGTGAGAAAAAAAAAAGAAAATACACACGTTCTAAAGTAATTTCTCTTTATAAGATTGCAATTGATTCATTTTAAACTGTGAAAGTAGTTAATTTTTTATCAATTGACAGCATTTTATTATGACAGTCTGAACACATGTGTCTTTGTTTACCTCTGTGCGTTTACTGGTTGTTCCGTTCTTCACATTTCAATGACTTGTATGCAATTCCCTTGGGCATTGGAGTGTTTGGTCTGAAAATCTGAAAGTATATCCAATGTTTAATTGGATGTTAAATTGTTTCTTTACTTAAATTAATGTCTAAATCAAGCAGTGCTGTTGGTGTATCAACAGATCAGTTCAAGTGGGAGTATTCTAATTTTTATTGCAGAAAAGTAGTAATACCACACTGTGAAACAGTCTTTTCATTAGGCTACATAGTTACAGTGAAATACACACCGTGTGAATATTTACTTGAGTAGAGACAGAAAGGGGGAGTAGCCGTAGTTTTCAAACATCTGACACTGCATGAAAAGTGGGATTTTCGGCAGTATGCGGCACTGTAAATTGTCGTGGAATTTCAGGTTTGCGGCAATTTGCGGGCAACGCCGAAAACTGCCGTAAATTGTCAGAAATTGATGTGGGCCTCCCTTGGCAGTTGTCCCCCCATGACTCCCCTCCTCCTAATTCTAGGGGAGGCTTTGACATGTAAATGAAAATGCTGTGAGCTATACAAATGCAAATCAGGGTCGCAGAGGGAGTTTTAGCCCAGGTGACATTTTTTTAAAAGGTAAGAAAGTCTCTGGTACAAATAGATCAGGCTCAGTAGCCTAATTATAGACTCTTACATTTTGGCTTGAATTGATTTATTTAATTCAAATATGCTAGATTACAGTGTACACCATTAGCAATGGCAAATGTTATGTAAAAACGATACACAAAATAACTTCTTTAAAAAATGAGTTTTAATCAAGGTAAAATGAGCATTCCATGCAAACAACATTTGAATCAGCATGAGGGGTCTCCAGAGATCACAGTCTCCTAGAGCTCAACTACAGTGCATAGTGGCGGGACTACAGTGACCTTTTCTTTGGTCCTACTTAAATGCACAGAGGATGTATTAACCACACATCTTCTAGCAATGCGCTCAACTGGCAGAAATGATGCTGGGTATGACATGTCTGTTCCCTGCAAGCCCCAAACTTCTATTGGCTTTCCATAAAAATGTCTGTCCGGGTGGGAATGAAGCCAGGAAACTTGTGCAAGAACATGTTTAAATGCCGTACCCTTTGACACAACATTAACAACTATAAACTGCTTTATAATGGCTGGTCGTAGTTCTGCTAGAGGGTCAAGGACGGGATCCTCAAAACTGTTAGTGTTTCCACACCACTTAGCATGAACACATGCTGACCTTTATGCTCTGCATCTATCGATTGAGTAAGTTACATTCATATATGTTACCCGTTTACATGTCATGGCAAAACATTCAACCTCAGTGACACAAGGGTACATCTGATGATACATTGTCAACATTGCATGTCTGTCAGACTCAAGATTGTCTGGTGGAATGGAGAAAGAGGGACCACCGTACAGTTTTCTAGGGAAAGTCGTTCTGCTGACACCAAAACACTGCTTTACATGAAGCATATCAGCTGTTTCAAAGTCCCAACCAATTGTCTTCCTAAAATACTGGTCCTTCCGTATAACAATAACCTCCTATGTGATTGGAGGACCCTTAGACTCGTCGTCCAATCACGTGTGAGGTCATAGGCATGACTCAGACAGCAGTACTTGCAAGACGAGCATACAAACAGACACGTGTGTTACTATATTCAGAAGAACTGTATCTCCAGTTCCTTTGTTTGGTTTTCGCTGCTTCGTGAATAATGGCGGGACGACGTCTCGCGTTCAACTCCTCTCCGCGGTCACCAACTTTCGGCCAGTCCGCAGACAGACGAGAAGAAGCTGCTGAATGCTCTCAGTGGATCGTCTCGTCAACTCCAACAACAAACTGCCGATATCAACGAGCGGTTCGCTCCACTGGAGCGTTCGGGATTCTGCGGGTTTCTGTCCATGGAGGAGAGGAACTGACTTAAAGAAGAGGAGACGGGCGCACAATCCCAAGATAGCGGTAAGAATACGTTCGATGACTGCAAGCTAAGCTAAAAGTAGCGTAGCCTCAAGCTAAGCTAAGAGTAGCCTAGTAGCAGAGTGAGCAGAAACAGCTTTATTAAAGTGTGTTTTCTTTGCCGTGTCGTTTACAGGAAGCGGTGCGCCGTCTTCACAACTCCGAGACGAATTACAGGCGCTACGAACCAGAGCAAGGGTAAGATTTAAAGGATGGATACCGATCATAACTGTACATTTTGTTTTCACAGACTAATCTCGCCTCATAATGAGGCGGTGACCTCGTATTTGCTCCGGGAAAAGTCCAGATTTAGACGACGTCATTGTGTGTAAGTGACACTGTTTACTGTTTCTCCTTCCTTGTTAAATGTTACTGTGACTTGCGTTTTTTTGTATTCATACCACACTCATTTAATTGTTTTCCAGCCGCCTGTGAGACGTATTTTGAGACGTACGCAGGAGCTTCAGGTTCAGGCGGAACACTCATTGCGGGCGGAAGCTGCGAAGGATTCAGCGCGGAGTCGAGCGAGAAGAAAGAGGGTCAGAGTTTATTTGCTGACTTTTTTCAGGTGCATTGATCGATGTGTTGTGTCCGTACGCATCGCATCGCACAGTACTGATTCATTGTTGTTTTTACAGCTGCTGGAATCGAGACAAAGTGTTCTGGCTGATGACGAGGTAGAAATCCGCCACCGTGGAGCTCACGTCGGACGGCGTTGTTGGCGGGGTCTTGGGGTGGATTGTACGGTCGCCACACGCACACGAGCCGCCTGCACAACAGACCTGCCTCGGAAAACACGGCGCCAGTGACGGTCTACAACCCCGAGGAGGCAAACGGACAGTTTACTGAGCTGTAGTTTTTAAACCGCCTTTAGCCAAGTGTGGGCAGATCCTTACTTTGTATGTAGTTGTTGTTTGTGTGTTGTTAATAAAGCTCTTTCTTTGCATAAACGTGTGTCAAATGTTCATTTTCTCTATAAATTCATTGATGTCCTGGTTGTTATCCTAATAATAGTGTAGTAGCCTACATAGGATAACCATGAAATGAATATACAGCATAATATGAATATATAAATATATATAAATAAAATGAGGCGGGTGACCAATAGCGACAGATCTGCCAACCAATCACGAGTGATTGAAAGTTGTGGTTTCATCCAATCATGAACAAGGAAACTCAAGCCTGGTCTGCCCACGTGTGGTTTTGCTGCCAATCACGAGTGATTTTATTTGTTAGTAAGTTGTGGTTTCATCCAATAAGGAGTAAGGATATTCAAGCCCGCTCGGCCACCCGCGGTTTCGCTGCATTCATATGCTAATTTGGGCCATTCGCACCTCCGCCAGCTCTCCACATACGTCATGGTTCGTTTCCGACAATTTGTGGCACAGACAAACGCGACGTGCGCGGGTTGCAAATTGTCGGAAATTGTCGGAAATTAGGGAGATTTCCGGGCGTTTACGGGGACAAAAATCTCACTTTTCATGCAGTGTGATATGAGTGTATGTTAATCAACAAATACGAATTTACACAAACTATTCAATCAACAGTGTTTCTCCTACCATTTTATCAGAATTTTATCATTTCTGTCATAGGAATTGAATGTTTTATACATTGTTCATTCTGTACACATGACATCCATTGTAGTCTGTCCATCCCAGGAGTGGGATCCCTCCTCTGACGTTCTCCCTAAGGTTTCTTCCCTTTTTTTTCCTCTTTGAAGGTTTTTTTTCTGTTTTTTTTCGTTTTTCCTGTGCCAGTGTGTGGGTTTCGGGACAGAGGATGTCGTATGTGTACAGACTGTAAAGCCCTCTGAGGCAAATTTGTAATTTGCGATTTTGGGCTATACAAAATAAAATAAATTTAATTTAAATTAATTAAGTATTAGCGGGTGCTAGTGCTCTTTTAGCATTAAGGAAAATGTATAAGTTGAGTCTAAGGACACATGGAAAACTCCAGGTGTATTTCCGTCTCCTCTCCTGCGGAGTCTTCATGCTGCTTTGAGTACAGTCATGCGGAGGCATGGCTTTCGAAGGAAAACATGTTCATACCTGTGTACATGTCTGTTGGTAGCTACAGTGGAACCAGCTGGATAGAAATATAACATTCCTTCCCTCCCTCTCTAACATGCCTGCGGCCAAGGCAATTGCGGAAAATAAAAGTAGCAACATCTGTACCACAGACAGGCAAATCTTAGTCGTAGCTCACCGAAAAGTGAAGAGTGTACCCATGTCCAGCTGAGAGAGCAGCTCAGCTTTGGATTTAGGATAAGACAGACGGTATCGCAGGGTCTCAAAAGCTGGAACCACTAGGGCTTTCTTGGCACTGGTCATGTCCAGCTGCAACACTGACTTCCTACAAACATACACAAATACTGGATTGAATACGGTATATTACTAAAGCAAATATGTGCAAAATCTTTGAAAAAAAGGCAATGGAAAAATTAACAATTGTTTCTCTAAATGCAAAGATAGTACACTGGTTTCAAACTGATTATTTCTCCTCTTACCTTAGGTACTCGTATAGGCCGTACATAGGTAGGAAGTCAATGTCGGACAGGAACATGAAGGGTGTGTTGACGTGCCGCATGGCCACATTACGAAGCAGGTTAACTGGGTAGAACTGTCCTTCTTTGTAGACGATGTGGTAGCCAACATTTCCACGGCTCATTAGTACCTCGGAGCCCTGAGCGTAGCGCAGAAACTGCTGGGCCTCGGCATCGGACAGGTACAGGGCGAGGCTGATAGGGCCTTCCCAGTGCTTACAAATGGCCTCCAGCATCTGGAGCCTGCAAAGGTTGCGGGATGGGTGACTGTTATTTATTGTACGAGATATTGAAAAATTGAAAAATATAATCTGTTTAAGAATATCATACCATGCTTAAAAACAGGGGTCCCCAACCACCGGGCCGTTTGGTACCGAGCCGCACCACAGAAAGAATACTGTTATTTTACTTTTATTTTGAAAATTGACTCTGTCCTAATTACGTGCGCTCGTCCCTCTTTAAGAATATATATAGATAATATAATAAGAAATGTGTTTTTTTTCATCTTATACAATTGCCCACTACTGCGCATGGCAGTTCTGCCCCTAACAGTGGACAAAAAGCGTGCCACTACATCTACACCCGGCCGGTAATTTCGTTGTGTTTATCCGTCACATCTGCAAGACCAGTCCGCGAAATATTGTCTAACATGAAAACGGTCCGTGAGGCAAAAAAAGTTGGGTACCCCTGCTTTAAAACGCAGTAGTAATGACTCTATGAACTTCTTGAATTTGACTGGCTAAAAAGTTTTAAAGAAGTTTTGGATATTTATGAAATAAATTGTAGAATGTTGCCCGTTCTAAAATCCTGCCCAGTTTTGGTACATTTAGCATAATCATATTGACAAAAAAGCATGGCAATATTCATATGTCACTTTTTCAAACATTTAGTGAGAAAGTCATGTAAATCCATGCAATAACTTTTTCAAGATAATGTTCGGAAGTAACAAAGTAAAATAATATAAATATTTCATCTAAATTTAAACATTAAATGTAAATACAAATGCTAAACGTAAATGTTAAACGTTCAGTTTACATGTCATGACTTGACCACAGAACATTACAATATTTAAGGTAATTGCCTACTGTGAGCAATGATGTGGTGTCTGTGGCTACAATAGATATATAGAATGGCTAGATGTCTTAGGGCGGAGTCTAGAACATGCGCACATGGCTGCCATCTTGCCACAGTGAGCTCGCTCACCCATAACTTTGTGTTGGTAGTGGTACATATACTTTTTAAATAACCCTAACTTACTCAATTTTCAACCTATTTGTTTTTTTAAAAATAAATTTCAGATGTAGTTATAACACTGCCATGCTTAGGAATAATGTTCTGTTTAATGTTATTTTCATACGAAAACCCATGGTTATAATTATTCATAAGTATGCAGTGTCATAAATACATCTCTGTACAGGGTGGGGATTTCAACATTTCTTGATGTATATTTGTAAAGGGATATCTGTACCACCACTAATCTACCTATTTTAGAACATAACTATTTCATAAGTATGCAGTGTCATAACAAACCAAACCGTTTAAAAGTCAATTCATTCAAACAAAAGACAATTTATCTATTATTATTATTTATATCAGCGAACCAAAACAGTGTTGTCATTTCACAGCAGCACGACGGCAACGCAGAAACATTTAAAACACAATAAGATTTGAATTTGAAAATTTGCAACCGTAAAATATATTACAGCGAATATACAATTTCGCTATACGAATTAGGCGATTGAAGTTGTAATCCTTTAACACTGCAACGTGTTCCCCTCAAACCTAGCACACAGCGTTACCGTTGACTTCAGTGAAGAAATACTTGTCTCTTCCCAAACCAACCCCAATGCTCGACTGAGTAAATGGGAACCCCTATACAAGGCATTTACCAACAATCCTGCCACTTGTATTAGCTTGACTTTTTCAAACTGAGAATAATTTCCTCAAACAGAGATTCTTAACACAGAGGTTTTCACCAATGGTACATTCACACCGAACGCGTCGCCAGCGTTTTGCGCCACAGGATTACATACAAAGTCTATGCACAGATGCGATGACGCTGGAGGGACGCGAATCTGCGATTGAGCAGCGTGCTTCTCGCGTTGACTTCGCCGCGAACTCGAAGGGATTTCAGGCAAAGTCGCGTCAAACGCCCAAACGCCGCAAATGCGAAAGTTGAAATATTCCATCTTTGGCGACAAAACTTTGGTTCGAATCCCGGCTGCCCCATGTCCCAAGTCAAAGTGTCCCTGAGCAAGACACCTAACCCCTAATTGCTCCCCGGGCAAAAATGTAAAAAATAAAGCCATGGGTTAAAAATGTAATGTAAACCGCTTTGGAAGAAAACGTCAGCTAAATGACCTGTAATGTAATGTAATGTAATAAAAACCGCAGTAGACTGGACAGACTACAGTACACTAAAACCTTCACCTGTTACTCTCAGAATACTAATCAAATTCCACAGGCTCCTCAGTAAGTCTCAGACATGCTGTTAGTTTAGAAGCCCAGAAGAGGTCTCCATGTTTCCAAAGTGACCTCTACTCACAGTAATAACAACACTCTTTGCTGTTTGAAGACCAGTTGAGTGTGGCCAGTGAAGCTGAGCCAAACTCCTTGTAATCTCACATACTTATTATTATTAATCGCCTTATTCTCTCCTGTACAAAAGTTTGGCACGCATCTCCTACCGCACGGTTGATCGCAATGATTGTCTCAAAATAGTCGGGACCCGGGAATCGGGAATTGTGTGGTACTATGGGAATAAGAGAAATGACTTACGGTTTTCCCAAAATAAGCACTTTTCGAGCTCCAAACTAATGGAAAAATCAGAGTTTTAGGCGTGGACGTTACAGCGGCGATACGGCCGACATTGTGGGGGGGGGGGGGGGGTGCTAGCATGACACTAACATGGCGCAAGCTAGCATTGCACTAGTAATAACAGGACCCAACTGCTGACAAGTGGCTAAAACAGCCAGAGTAAAATGGGTCATGTTTTTAGTTTGCTAGCTATCCTTTGTGGCTAGTCTTCACTTGCTTGCTTGATTTAGTCGTTTCATGCACAGACACCAGCGGGCAGTCTAGGCCACACTCTTAAAATTACTGCGGAATTTTCTAGTTCACGATATTGTCCAGAATGAACAACGTAAAAGATGTACGACACGTTCAATTCATACGACAGAAATTATTCAAAAACACATTATCTCCTCATATGCGTTCAGGATCATCTCCCGCTCGTCAGTGGAGAAAAAAGACTTTCTTTCTTTGCGTTAATTTGCCGTTGTACTGTTTAAAAAGTTTCGGTGATCTTCCACCTTCTAACGTAGGACGCGGGATTATCCTGATGACTGACATCTGGTTCACGAGACGGTTTGAGCGCGGATCAGCCATTGAGGAACCGAGATAGTCTGACATCAATCATCTCCTTTTGAGCTGGCTAGTGGGACATTTGATCAACTTAGTTGAACCACATACAAGGAATAGGGCACAGAGCTCCCTATTTTAGTTTGTGTGTCTGCTTAACTATATCATTTGGAGACAGAGCGAAAGACCTTCGAGAAGCATCGATGCATGACTAGTGTCTTTTAATTCTGTCACCTTCTTGCAAGCATTATTGCCAAATGTTCTGATTTCACACCGGTGTCAAGTAAGATTTTTCAGATTTGTATATGGTAATTTGTATATTCATAGCTTTCAATTGGGTTTTCTTGCTGTTTTTACGTAAAGCACTCTGAACTGCTTTTGTATAAAGCTGTGCTAACTAAATAAATCTGAGTTTAATTTTGAACTGAAAATACATTCAGACCCCAACAAAAAACTAAAATGTGGCCAAATGTGTTATGTTAACTTTTAGCTCAAAAGAATTATTCTTGACTACAAAGGCATTTGTTGGGTTGCCGTTTTGTATTATAAAGCTAACTCATAAGTTAATATTACCTTGATAACACAAAAACATGGCAACCATATTTTCAGTTCCTGCCACCAAAAGATGAAGATGGTAAAAAGATGGTGTCATGTCCTGTGTCCAATTCCAGCAGTCACTGGTTAGGTATGTATGATGTTGGCAGAGAATTTTCAGGTTGGGGTTGATTGAAACAAACTGGTCGATCTGTATGAAGCAGTGTCTTTATTGCTGGAAAAGGTACTTAATTATATTTATGTAGAAAATATATGGGACAGAAACCCTCTTATTAACCCAAGCACACCCGTTGCAGAACAATGGTGTCTTTTCCATTTACGTGCATTGGAGTTTTAGCATATATCGTAACAGACTACCTTTTAAGCAGACAAAGCTTTGCTGTATTGAAGAACAGTACCTGTCCATAGAAAGCTGGGCGACTAGCGTGACGTCAGTGTTGTCAGTGCTGGGCTCATACTCATAGTGGAGAAAGTAGAGGTGTGTTCGGTGAACTGTGAACCGTTCTCGGCGAAACTCGTAGCAAGGATCATCTTCATCCAGCTGTGATAGAGTCTTCTGAAGCTACAGGCAGAAAGGATGGTATTTTATGGAGAAGATGGTTAACCACTAACGATGATGTTGCATCAGAATCCCTGGACCGCCATGGATTTTCTGTCAAGGCAAACTGCAGCATGATTAAAATAGGCAGAGAATAAATTAAACATGATTTATTGAAGGGATATGTGAAGGGAATATTAGTTCCTTCACATATGATGGGGGAAATGGATTGCATTTCTTCATCCAAAGTACTGCCCATCAAAAACTAATAACGTTCACACACGGTAGTCACAGCTGCAGGAGCAATGTTAAGGGTCAAGTGTCTATCCCAGAGGTCCAGTTAGAGAAAATTTCTAGAAACAATGGTCCGGAAGATCATAATGTGACTACTTACTGTGATTAAATAGAGGCAAAGAGTCAACATCTGCATTTAATCAATACACGACTAACAAATCAAATTAATTCACACATTTTAAGAATTGAACAGTTTAATGGAATATATATATACATTTCCACTCTCCAACTTTTTGGGGTTAGTGGGAGAATTGAGCTCTTGTTTGTCTTACCAGGACTTTAAACCTGGGCATGAATCCATCAGGGCCATTCTCCTCACGTGGAGGAGCTCATTGAGCTGGGTTCTGGGCATATGAGACACTGTTTAGTGCCGCAGTGGGAAATATGGGACGGCTTCTGGGTCTGCCAGTTAGGGACCTCTGGTCTATCCCTAGGAAAGATCAACATGCGGGTTGCCTGGCATCGAACCGCCAATCCTCTGATTGGAGGACGACCGTGCTCACCCACAGTCGCCCGCAGAAGGGCCGGTCTCCCTCTAGTCTTGGAGTGCCGCCCCTGTTTCGGGGCAGCATACCAAGGTCGACAATAACACACTAGGGAGCCACAGACTGGTGTCTCTCTGCCTAAAAAGGGGGGCTCAAGAATTGCGTACTCCCGAGTGGCCGAAAAGCCTCTGCAGGGGAAGTACCCTTGGTACTGGAGAACCTAGGCATACTTCCTTTTGAGCCCCTAAAACAGGCAGAGCCGAGATGGCTATTGGCCAAAAATGTATTTTTCCCCCCTGCCAACCTATACTCGACCTGCATGCCCTGTTGGTGTACCTCAGATGGCTCGGGCATTACTCTGTGGCCTAACGCAGTGTCTCTCCCAAGGGTGCTGACACGCTTTTGATCAACCAGCCTTTCAGCCTGCACAGTTTGACCCCCCCAGCAGGAGATGCCCAGTGCGGGACCAGAGCTTATGTAGAAGGCCCCGCTTTCATACGGCGATTTGGAACCGCTCTTTGTCAGTTATGCTGGGCCTAAGGAGGGCTTTGCTCTCTCAAAGCAGCGCCTGTCCCACTGGTGACAGACTAGAAAAGCAGTTTAAAAAGTGGACTGTGGAAACCCAAGCACAGGGATCTCCACTTGGGCTTTGTTCTGAATGCCACACCAGTCAGAAAACAGCTTCTTTTTAGTGTTAGTATCTCAGGCGGTTATAGGGCCCCCAGAATAGTCAGTCTGACTAGTTCTATGCAACCACTCAGCACCAGGTCGGGCCCTCCTGTGGTCAGGCCCTTAGTTGAAGGCGGCGGGATTGGAATGCTTAACCCGACCCTTCAGTTGCGACAAGAGGTTCTTCCGGTTGTAAAAGAAGCGTTGGCAAGATCAGAAGGAAAAGGTATAAAGAAGACCCTCTCGCCACGTGTGAGCCAGGCCATGTCGACCCAGAGGACTGTTCCTCTCCGTCAGGGAGAACCGGTGGGGGCGGTGGATCGGCATAACCTCTGGATGGAGTAGCCACTCCTGGCTGGGTACCTTACCCGAAGGCTGGTCAGGCAAAGGGCTTCCCAAGTAAGAAGGCACGGTGACATTTAGACGTCTTAAGAACTTGTTTACCTCAGCCCCTGTGCTCTCTCACCCAGATCCCTCTCTTCAGTTCATCGTGGAGGTGGACGCGTCGGACACCGGTGTTGGAGCGGTGCTCTCCCAGCGATCCCCTGTCGATCAACGAACTCACCCCTGTGCCTTTTTCTCCCGTCGTCTGACCCCAGCCGAGAAGAACTATGACGTGGGTAACCGGGAGCTTCTGGCTGTGGTCCTCGCTCTCCAGGAGTGGAGGCATTGGCTGGAGGGTTCCACACACCCGTTCCTAGTATGGACTGATCACAGGAACCTCTCCTACCTACGCTCGGCCCGTCGTCTGAACTCGCGCCAGGCTCGGTGGGCCCTGTTCCTAGGCCGCTTCCAGTTCACCCTCTCTTACCATCCTGGGTCGCGGAACATAAAACCAGACGCCTTATCCCGCCAGTTCTCCTCCCCTGTGGAAGACCTTCCCGTGGAGACCATCCTCCCTGCCTCCTGTGTGGTAGGAGCAGCTAGGTGGGAGGTCGAACAGGTGGTCCAGGAGGCACTACGTGACCAACCCGCCCCGGAGGACTGCCCCCAAGATCGGCTGTTTGTTCCGCCCACGGCCAGGTCCTCCGTGCTCCAGTGGGGACATGCTTCAAAGATCGCCTGTCATCCCGGTTCTCACCGGACCCTCACACTCCTCCGGCAGCGTTTCTGGTGGCCTACCATCGCAGCCGACACCAGGGAATTCGTCTCAGCCTGCTCCGTTTGTGCTCGCAGCAAATCCTCCCACCAAGTGCCCGCAGGCCTCCTTCGCCCACTGCCGATTCCCCACCGCCCCTGGTCCCACATTGCAGTAGACTTTGTTACTGGACTCCCACCTTCGGAGGGTAACACTGTTATCCTTACTATAGTTGATCGTTTCTCCAAGGCTGTGCACTTCGTCCCTCTGCCCAAACTCCCCTCGGCTCTAGAGACTGCCAACCTCCTCGTCCTACATGTGTTCAGACTCCATGGCATTCCTCTGGATATCGTGTCGGACCGGGGGCCTCAGTTCGCCTCTCGGGTCTGGAAGGCCTTTTGCCAAGCGTTGGGGGCGTCGGTCAGCCTTTCGTCTGGGTACCACCCTCAGACCAACGGCCAGACGGAGCGGGTCAATCAGGACCTCGGGTCAGCTCTCCGTTGTGTCTCTGCTAGACACCCTGCCTCTTGGTCCACCCATTTAAGCTGGGTGGAATACTCTCACAACTCCCTGGTCAGCTCCGCCACGGGCATGTCTCCTTTCATGGCTTCCCTGGGTTTCCAACCTCCCCTTTTCCCCATTCAGGAGACCGAAGTGGCAGTCCCCTCAGTCCAGGAACATCTCCGGCGAGCCCGCCGGGTATGGCGCGAGGCCGGTGCGGCCCTCAGACGTACTGCTGCTCGCAATCAGCGATTGGCGGACCGACATCGCTCCCCAGCGCCCCCATATCAACCTGGTCAGAAGGTGTGGCTCTACTCTCGGGACATCCCGCTCCAGACCGTGAGTAAGAAACTGGATCCCAGATACATCGGCCCTTTTGAGATTGAGAGAGTGATCAATCCCAGTGTGATGAGACTCAAATTGCCTCCGGAATTACATATCCACCCTGCTTTTCATGTGTCCCTATTGAAACCTGTCTCCACCAGCGATCTGTGCCCTCCGGCCGAACCCCCGCCACACCCCCGGCTTGTTGACAACCATCCTGCTTACTCGGTCCGGCGGCTGCTGGATGTCCGGCGGCTGCTGGATGTCCGCAGGCGCGGCCGGGGGTATCAGTACCTCGTGGACTGGGAGGGTTATGGTCCTGAGGCGCGGTCGTGGGTGTCCCGCTCGCTCATTTTGGGGCCGGACTTGTTGAGGGACTTTTATCGGGAGTTCCCCGACAAGTCTGGTAGGCCGCCAGGAGGCGTCCGTTGAGGGGGGGGGTACTGTCGTGGTGTGATTTTTGATACTTGTTGTTTTTTGTGTTCTTCCATTTCCCTGGCAGTAGGAGACGGCGGAGGGCGAGGTTGGTGCTGAACGAGACACACCTGGTTCCCATCCCACCTAATCACTTGTGCCATAAAGACAGGCTCTGCTCGTCACTCCGGTGCCAGAGTATTCCCGCTCGTACCCGCTGCAACTCGTGGCTCCCGGCTCTCTTCTCCCGTGCTCGACACCAGCCCAGCCAGCTCAACCTCCGTCGTCTCCTCCGCTTCCAGCGCCTTGTGTTTTTGTGTATCCTGCTGTGAGGATTAAACCTTTTGAAGACCATCTCGTCTCCTGTCTCTGCATTTTGGGGTCCACCGAGAACCGCACCGTGACACAACTATAGACATGGGGGCGTTGTTTGTCAGATATACATTCTCCCTCCATGGGAATAGAGACACTATTTTGATACTACTATTGCCCTGCCACTTGGGATAAAAGTTGTTTAGTTAGCCGCTGTTCAGCCATCTGCAAACCCAAGGAAACAACAGCTGAGGCAACTCTTTCTTACAAAAAGTAGGTTTGAGTAGCCGGGTTGTGACAGGGCGTCCACCTTTGGTTGTGCCCTCGGCCAGTGAACTCCTGGTTCAGGGCGAGGGATTTTGCTGCCTCTGCAATGTTGGTCATCGAGACCTGGCTTGAGTCTGTGGGATAGCTTTGGAATTGACGCTGGTACCCTTGGGATAGGGTGGAAACCACCCAGTGGTCCGGTCTGGTGCTGGAAGGTATAACCGACGGGTGACCCGGAGACATTATCTGGACGTCAGGATCCGGTTTGTGGACTTAAGCTCTGGGTTTAGCATGATCATCCTGTCTCTGCTGCAGGACAAACTTGCTGAGCTGCACATGCCCGACTTCACCTGCAAGTTGATGAGACTTGTCTGACAGGAAAAAGCACATGAAGCTAGGGATACACATCTCAGCCTGTCCATCTGTCCATCAGCACCGGTTCCCCCCAAGGCTGGGTTCTTTCCCTTCTGCTCTTTTCTCTGTACACTAACAGTCTGTATCTACAGTATATACAACGCTCTGCTAAAGCCCCTGTGTAGCACCTGCAGTGAAGCATCATTTATGCTGGTTGCGGAAGCGTCAAAAGCAGCCCGCTGCAGCAACAGCATGAGGTCGCAGAGGGAGATACCGAACTGGGCTCATCCGAGGTCACCGGTGACTTTACTGGTATAAACACTTGACCTGCGCACGCGTGAGACAGAAGACAATCCAGTGTTAAGCCCTGCCTGTGGCGGTCAGAAAGGATTAAATAGAACGCTAGTGCACCACCACTCTTCAGCCCAAATCCCCACCACAACCACAATGGTTACACTTACATTTTCACTGTTGTGGTCAGCCTCGCTGGGACAGCCAAATAGCTCTCGCCGCAGCAGGTTGCCATCGTACTCCAGGAAGGTTAGATAGAGATTCCGAAAAAACTCAACATGCTTGTTCTTCACTCGCAACTTCTTGGGAGAATTCCAGTGGATGACCTGGGCAGAAAAAACACAGAAGTGAGCAAAGGAAAAGGTTACCACTTCCATTCCACCAAATGATTGATATCTGAGACCTTGGATTTAAGACAACTGATTAAAGCTCAAAATCTTTTCTTGGTGTCTATGGACCCGTAACACTATATCAGGGGTGGTCAACCAGTCAAGAGTCACATCATACACATGGGCACACATCTCTGCCCAGCCATATTTATTGTAAATGTCACACACCAATGATAATGACAGAAATTGACTTCTACAGTCAGTACTAAGACCACACTAAGACCACAAGCCAGTCATTTCCAACAATGAAGATTGTGTGCACACACAAATTCTCAGTTCAACCAGGTCCACAAATAAAAATATATTATTTTTTCTTTTACTATGCATGTTGCCTAGTGGAACTTCTAGCATTCCTTGCCTTGAACAATCCTCTTCAAATCTGACTCGCGTTGTTGCCACTCGAAGCAATTCTTTCACATGGGTGTCAGTCAGAACAGATCGATGCTTTGATTTCACGTGTTTCAGGGTACAAAACACAGACTCGCAGACGTATGCTGACCCAAACATTGACAGTATCTTAGGGGCAGCCCTTTGCCATTGGGGTATTTTTCCATTGGCACACTTTTTGCGAAGTCAATGGTCCCTTCCCTTAAAGCAGGTTTCAGTTGGTTCTCCTCACAAAGATTGATCATCTCCAACTCAGCTGCGGCCTCCTCTGTGACTAGCGGGGCTTTCAAACAGTCCGTCTCCACATTAAATGGGTCGACGAGGAACGTAATCTTTTTAGTTGTAGATCACGGAACCGGAAGCTTTCGTGCAAGTTTTCAATCAGTGTTGCATATCTGGCCCTTTGCTTATTCAGGGCGGTGCTGGTGACTAGGCTTTTAGCAGAGTGGGAAAATGCGTTAAATCTCCCTTTGAATATGCGCCTTGACAGCTTCAGTTTGTTGACAAACGCAAACAAACTTTGCACCAGGTCAGGCAGCATTTTTAACTTACCCTGCAGGGTCGGGTTCAGTCTGTCCAAGTGACACAAATCTTTGCTTTTCTGCCTGAGTTTTCAAAGTGACCAACTTGTGCTTGCAAAGTTCAGTCCCTTTTGGAAAATCCTGGTCGATTAGCATTGAGTGAGCTGAAGTGGCGCTGAAGATTTGAAGCATTGAAATGCGCTAATGACGCCTCACATATAAGGCAGAATGGCTTGCCATTACGTTCAACAAAAAAATATAAACTCTCCCACTATGTTAAAAACCTCCTGTGTTCATTTTCATATTTTCATTTTGCTGTGCATTTTTCCTCTGCCATTTTGAGAGCAAACTGCACACAAATTGTTTACTCAAATGATCTTGGCCCTACTTTGCGTTATTTTCATCTCACGCACATGCGCGTTTGACGAAAATACCGTATTGAACGCAAGTGAAGCAAACATAAAAAAAACACAAACACAAACCTTGATATGAACGTAAGGCCTGCACTGTGTTCCTTTCACATGCCGGCAATCACCTTGACTACATCTTCACCAGAAACTGCTTTACCTCTAACCTCACTGTAACTAACGTTTCTGACCACTTCTTCATCTCCCGTGCTCTTCCACTCTCTCTAACTAACAACCCCACCCCACCAACTAACTCTCATTCGCTCCCTCTCTCCCTCCTCTCTGACCTCCTCTGTTCTTGTCTCTTCTAAAGAGTAGTTTATGCTTCTGCGTTTTCAGAGACGCAATGACACGCATATGCAAGAGCCCCTTGTGTGCATTTTCACTCTCCCTCACCCTCCTTGCGGGCCTGCGTACGTTGACCCATTTTTCTAGGCTTGCGTCAAAAGCTACGCAAGCCTCTCGCAGCCCGCAAGGCTGTGATTGGTCTGCTAACTACATCCTTTCCGGAGTCTCACATTTCCGGTTTCATAACACAATACTGCCATTATTAAAACGAAGATTTTTCCGAGAGAACAGATCAGATTGAAGAACTTTTGTCGGAAGAAATGCGTAAATATGACCACTTATACAACCGGTCATTGGCGCACTATAATGACGTGCGGGTGGCCTCCGATTTATGGAGGGAGATCTCCGCAAACGTCGGTTTGCCGGTCGAGGGGTGCACTAAGTTGTGGAGGAAAATACGGGACAAATGTGTCCACGATGAAAAGCAACAGTGGCAATGCACGGGGCAATAAAGTCTATCATAAATAAATAAACAAACCAACGACTTCCACACACAAAAACTCAAGCAATATAAGGTTCATTTGAAAGCGATATTTATTCTTCCAAAAATTATTCTAAATGAGCTTTGGTAGTGAAAAAAGTATTGAAAAAATAACTAAAAGCATTATTGAACATTATTGTTATTATTTACTTACTACTGCTGAAAGTGGAATAATGTGCTATTTAATAGATGGGCACAAAGCCTAGTCAACAATATCCTCGTAGTTATGTGTCCACATGGAAGTATTCATGACAGACTTGGTCACCTCGGCATCCCCTGAAATTTAAAAAAGACATGACACTTTTTCAACCTTAACGATATCCATAATGCCTTTACTCTGTCAAAAGTGAAACCAAACATATCACTTTGAGTGTGGGGGTGGCTCGAGCTTCTTGAACAATGTAGGCCAGGTCTTGTTTCTTTTAAGTAATTACAAATGAGTGAAGGACAGCAGGATCTCACCTTGAGGTCTGACACGTCTTTGTAGCACTTCTCGGATCGGGTGTGGTCGGACAGCTGCACGTTCCAGAAGCAGGGCAGCTGGTGAATCAGGAACGGGTTCTGTTTGATCACAGCGTTGAAGATGTCCTTGCAGGCAGGCAGAGGGCGCACACACACACACACACACACACACACTGTGTTTATACTTTGCCTTATGTTTCCTCATCTACAGGCCTGCACCTCACGGTTCAATCTGTTTAGTCAATGACTACGCAATGTTAATTTGGACACTGCTTGTTTCACAGCTGCAAATAAGTTTAATGTTTCAAAATAATTATCAATAATTAACCATATTTAACCTAAAAGTTTAGCGTGCATTTATTATAAACACACACTTATTAAAGAATGTATATGTGTAAATTACGATGCTTCGAAGGATGTAAAGAGTAAGGAGCAGCAAGCCTTATGACAATGTGTTATATTATTACAATGTGTATTCGAGAGAGGAGAATAAGTTATTGTTGCAGAGAGAGGCAACAAGAACTTATTTATTCTAAATCAATGCAGTTTTTTGTCCTAGCCTAAAGGTTTTTGAACACAATAATATAGGATCAAAGTCCAACGGCGCTCCAAAGAGCAGGGACTCCAACGAGTCGATGAAGCGGTTACCAACGAAACCGCTTCATTCTGAGCTTCATGGTTAAGGTAAAGATAATCATTGAGGCTTGTATTTTGAAATGATGGAATTGGGTGAGGGGGGGTTGGGAGACAGAATGTTTGTTATTCAAACTAAGAAGTTATTAATTAATAGGCCTCATCACAAATATTACAGTAAAAATTCCCTCCATGGGGCTTTTATTTTGAAATTATTGGATTGGGTGGGGTGGGGGGGTGTAGATAGAGAGAGGGAGGGTGAGAGGGTGAGGAAGGGAGGGGTGGTGAGGAAGAGATAGAGAGGGAGAGGGGAGGAGAATTAGACAGACTGACTGACTGAGTGATTAACAGTGAGAAGAGGTCAGGGTGGAGGGGGGGCGCGAGTGTCTTTATCATGTTGGTCTGTTGACAGAAAGCATAGCTGCGTCATGTGACTCCACTAATGATGTAATAGGAGCAGCTGTGAGTCACAGACAGAGATACTGTGTGCGAGTATCCACGGCAACGGTGCACCTGGGTTCATTAACGAGCTGCTGAAAAGGGCAGAGACAGGAAAGCGAGTTACACAGAATCCACACCTCAAACAAGTGTCCACTAGCGCAAAACTATAACAGCTATCTAAAAAGACGTTCCTGCGAGACCCAAGACTCTACCGAACGCAGGGATGCGTTTTTTATGTCTGTCCGGTAATAAATACGGCTCCTGTCGCAGTTTACAAAACCTGTACCTTCTGGAATGTTTGAGAAATATGTCGCCAGATTTGTATTGGAGCCTATGGAGCTTTTGGCAGAGGTTGTGTGACTGTTGGTCTCCTGAATCCAAAACTAAAGACTGGCTGGCAGGACAGAAGTTCCATATTTTTTTAACCAGATTCTGACGCTTATTTGAACGGTTTTAATAGCCGAAAGTGTGAAGGAGTTGAAAGGTGCAATGGAAGAAATAGAAGAAGAAGAAGGCGGAATAAAGATTCAAAGAACAATACTTGGAATGCTTAATGCATTCCAACAATAAAGATTCAAAGAACAATACTTGGAATGCTTAATGCATTCCAACAATTAGGGTCTGGGAGACAGTGTGTCTAATGTGTCAAGCAGAAGGAGTCAAGGTAGATCATTTGTTTCAAGTATTTCATCTGCATGTATAAGGGCTAAGGCAGAAGAAAGCTGCGTTGATGGAGCAAGTTTCTGCTCTGCAAAAGAGACATGACCTAGAGGCACAAGAGGACAAGCTAAGGAAAATGAAAGAACAACTGGAGCTTGACACACAGATAGCTGCTGCTGCTGCAAGACTTTCGGTGTTGGAGGGCAGTGATGTTGGAGGAAAGGCACATTCAGACGGAATTAATTCCTATGTGAGCAAAGGACTTAAAGAGCAAAGACTTGAATTTCACCCAAAGGAAAATGCATTGGTGCCAATGAACACCTTGTGCTTGGATCAAGGCATGTACTGGGATGACCCTATTCCACAGGCATTCTCCCAACAATGGACAGCATGGCTGCTGGATCTGTAGACGGTGACTGAACTTAAAGTGGACCGCTGCATCAAACCAAAGGATTTCAGAGGACCCATAAATGCCCAGCTGCATCACTTTGCAGATGCCAGTGACCATGGCTATGGCACGGTGTCCTATTTACAGTTGGAGAACCATTGTAAGAACGTCCACCTTGCGTTCATATTGGGCAAAGTCAGAGTAGCACCATTAAAACAGACGGCAATTCCTCGCTTTGAACTCACTGCTGTTGTGTTGGCCGTAAAAGTTGACAAAATGCTGAGGAAGACATTGTCCCTTGAGTTGGAGAAGTCTCGGCACCCTGCCGAGTGGCTCAAGAAAATCTGTCACTACATGCTGCAAAATTCTTCCTCTGCTGAGTCATCGGATGTCTGTGTGTAGTAACGAGTCCCCATATTCAGCTGACATTTATGATCTTCACGTCATGAATGAAGCCGGTTACTTTGGAACAAAGTGCCTGTCGGTGAATGATACAGTGGTAATGTAGAAATTTGGGAAATCCGGGCCACCTTTGCATTGCAGAAGTAGGTTGTCGGGTTTGACAAGATTGCACAAGATTGAACTTCTGACAAGGTCAGAGTTCATCCAGATAAAGCATTTTAGTTTTTAAACATTCATATTAAATAGTCATTTTAAAGTGTTTTGAGTAAAAACAAACGATGGCGCTTCATGGTCAACAGGGATATTTTTAGAACATGCCCCACGTGGTCCCCACCGGTGACCAGAGATGTGTGTGCCAATTACAGGGGTATCACACTATTCAGCCTCCCGTCCACTCCAAGGTGCTGTAAAGGAGGGTTCGGCCGATAGTCGAACCAAGGATTGAAGAGGAACAATGCGGTTTTTGTCCTGGTCGTGGAACGCCGGACCAGCTCTTTACTCTTTCCAGGATCATGGAGGGGGCTTGGGAATCAGGAATCAGGAGTCAGGAAACATTTATTTGCCAAAATATGCTAAACATACAAGGAATTTGTCTTGGCGGTTAGTGCGCGACAGTAGACAGACAAGACAACAGTGCACAAGTAATAAAATAAAGTAAAATGAAATGCTAATGCAATGGGTTAGTAGAATAAGGCTATGGGTTAGTATAAAACAAGGAATAAAGTTAAAAATTTAAAATATTAAAAAAGTTAAAAAGAAAAATATTAAGCATAAAGTGCACTAACGAACAAGTAACAGACAAGTAACAAAGTGACGAGTGACGACAAAGTGATGAATTGCAGTTAAAGTGGCATGTGCAGTGTGAAGGGGAGTGACCGGTGGAATGTTATAGTCAGTCAGTGGGAGACCGGGCTCTGTTGATGAGCCCGACTGCCGACGGGAAGAAACTGTTCGTGTGGCGGGAGGTCTTAGTCCTGATGGACCTCAGCCTCCTGCCAGATGGAAGGGGCACAAACAGTTTCTGTCCGGGGTGAGAGGGGTCGGCCACGATCTTTTTAGCACGCTTCAGAGACCTGGAAGCGAACAAGTCCTACAGGGACGGCAGATTTCAGCCGATCACCCTCTCTGCAGAGCGGATGACACGCTGCAGCCTGCCCTTGTCCTTGGCTGTGGCTGCACCGTACCAGACGGTGATGGAGGAGCAGAGGATGGACTCGATGATGGCCGTGTAGAAGTGGACCATCATCGTCTTTGGCAGGTTGAATTTCTTCAGCTGCCTCGGGAAGAACAACCTCTGCTGAGCCTTCTTGGTGATGGAGCTAATGTTCAGCTCCCACTTGAGGTCCTGGGTGATGATGGAGCCCAGGAAACGGAAGGAATCCACAATAGTGACGGGGGAGTCACACAGGGTGATGGGGGAGGGTGGGGCTCTGTTCCGCCGGAAATCCACAACCATCTCCACTGTCTTTAGAGCGTTGAGCTCCAGGTTGTTCTGACTGCACCACGACACCAGATGGTGAGACTCCCACCTGTAGGCGGACTCATCACCACCAGAGATTAGTCCAATGAGGGTGGTGTCATCCGCAAACTTCAGGAGCTTGACGGACTGGTGACTGGAGGTGCAGCTGTTGGTGTACAGGGAGAAGAGCAGAGGGGAAAGAACGCAGCCTTAGGGGGAACCGGTGCTGATGGTCCGAGAGGCTGAGACATGTTTCCCCAGGTTCACGTGCTGCTTCCTGTCAGACAGGAAGTCTGTGATCCACTTGAAGGTGGAGTCGGGCACGTGCAGCTGGGAGAGTTTGTCCTGCAGCAGAGATGGGATGATGGTGTTGAAGGCAGAGGTGAAGTCCACAAACAGGATCCTGGCGTAGGTTCCTGGGGAGTCCAGATGCTGGAGGATGTAGTGGAGGGCCATGTTGACAGCATCGTCCACAGACCTGTTGGCTCTGTAGGCGAACTGCAGGGGGTCCAGGAGGGGGCCGGTGAGGGACTTCAGGTAGGTCAGGACTAGCCGTTCAAAAGACTTCATGACTACAGAGGTCAGGGCAACGGGCCTGTAGTCATTGTCACTGTTCTTGGGAACAGGGATGATGGTGGAGGCCTTGAAGCAGGCTGGTACGTGGCATGTCTCCAGGGAGGTGTTGAAGATGTCAGTGAACACCGGAGACAGCTGGTCAGCACAATGCTTCAGGGTGTGAGGAGAGACTGAGTCCGGACCTGGGAGTATGCTCATCCAATCTACATGTGTTTTGTAGATTTGGAGAAGGCGTATGACCGGGTCCCCCGAGAGAAAATGCGGGAGGTGCTGAGGGTGTACGGGGTAATGGGGTCCTTACTTGGGGACATCCAATCCCTGTACGCCCAAAGCGAGAGCTGTGTTTGGGTGTTCGGCAGTAAATACCGTTGTGACGAAAAGAGAGCTGAGCCGGAAGGCAAAGCTCTCAATGAGGCTATATCTCTGCACTGGCCTGTGAACGCCTTGGTATCCCCCAGTCAGAGTTGGTAGAAAGGGAAGTTTGGGGTCCCCTGCTGGAGCTGTTGCCCCCGCGACCCGGCCCCGGATAAGCGGTTAAAGATGGATGGATGGATGGATCTGTAGATATTGTTTTAATTTTTGCTTGTATATTTTTTTAAATATTATTTTACTTTATTCTATTTTATTCTTACATTGCACCAATCATCAAGACAAATTCCTATTTGTGTATATGTGACAATAAATGGCTTCTGATTCTGATGACCTGATGAACAAAGCGGTTTGTTTGAAACATACAGAGCCCTTTCCTGCGATTTTGTTTAGCCTTGACGTTTCAGGTAGCATTGGCAGAGAACATGAGGGTTTACCACAGTTTACATTACCAGCAGTCTAAAATGTATGGACAAACAGGCTCCTTCAACAAGTACTGTACCTGGGTTTTTGGTGATTTGCTTATGTGAAATTTGGAGTTAGCATGTCTGACAAGGACCTGTGTGTGTGTGTTTTACCTGGTCTGCCAAGGAGGTGGACAGCATGCTCATAAGCTCTCGCTCTGCAGTTAGCCTCCACATCTGCTCCCATCTCAGCTTCCTCAGACGATCCAGGAGAAGCAAAATGACCCCTTGAAAGCACACACAGACACACATTTTCAGAGGGAGAGACATAGCAGATTCAACAACATAAACAAACAAAATGTTTTGTGTAAATGCAACACATGCCTGTTACACTGACAGGAATTTTAAAAGCAGAACAGCCGACCTTCAAAGCATAAGTGATCAGGAGTGTCTACTGTAAAATTCAAAGAGCTGCTGTAGCAGGTTGGGCTATTTGTTTTGGGATAAAACCTAGTAAAAGCAGGTATCTAACTCATTCAACGCTGAACAGTGTCACGGTGTGGTCTTATTTCCTGTCTTGTTTTGCAGTTTCTGCTTCTTGTCTCCCTGGGTAACTTCACTTCCTGCCTTGTCCTGTCATCCCCTGTGATTGTCTGATTGTTTCCACCTGTGTCCAATCACCTGCACTTCCCTTGTGTATTTAAGTCGTGTGTGTCTCTTGACACTAGTCGCATCATTGTCGTTTTTCCTGGATGTTTCTTAGTTCCTGCCTGTATTTTTGCCCTGGTTCCTGTGTGCGTTATTGCCCCCTTGGCCTTTGCTTTTGCCTATTTGACTATTTTTGTTGCTCGAAGTGAGTCCTGCCTTCCCCGCATCCCTGACAAACAGTTTTTCAGAGCACAATAAATGGCAACATAGAATTGAAGCAGCGATGATTGGACACATGAATTTCTCAGGCAATGACTGTTATCAACTTTTTTTAAATTTAGGCCAGATATGACTAAGATATGACAAAGATAGTTTGCTGACAAACAGAAACGTTAACCTTTTAAAAAAAATGTATCGCAGAGGTTTTAAGATTATACTGTCCAAATTTGACTTGATCTGCTCTCTACCTAAGGAAGGTTTTTATAAAGTATAATGTAATGGGAAAATGATATGTGACCCTTTTAAATGCTTCATTTGTATAACCAGTTTATTAGTTGCAAGTGGTTAGATCACAAAGGCCCTGACATAAGAACTGATGTCTCCCTCTTGGATTAGATGTTTCCAGCGTCATAGCTGTAGAGATTGAACAAAGTGTTTGTTATGTCTATGACCACCTTTGTTTAAGCATGTTGGGAGAGCAAGGACACGGTCAAAGAGCTGACGTGTCTTACATGGATAAGATGTTCCCAGTACCCTGGCTGTAGATACTCAACAAGATGGTCAAAGGTTTCTGTTGACGCCACCGATATCTAAACTTAGGTATAAGAACTGCCTCGATGTGTTGGGACAAAAAGGAGGTTCTTGACAGTCTACTGACCACGTAGCTGTTGTGACCCTTTTTCCCTTGCAAGGAAATAAACGGAGAAAAGACATACTTGACTCCGAGCCTTTGTTTCTTACTTAACGATTGTCTGTGCAAAATCTTCCATCACAATAGCTATAGCTTTTTTTAATTAATTCCATGTGCCTTCTAGTTTTGCTTGGTTTCAGGCCAAATAACCCTTAGGGATATACTAATAACATGATATGAAGGCAACGATGATGTCCTATCGAGTGAAGATACGAGCCGTCACAATGACGAAGGCTACGCTTCTAGGTAGGACAATTATTTCCCATATCCCTCCAAACAAGGATCATTAATCTTGCCTTCCTATTAGCGAATACACAACTGCAACAACTTAACAGCTAAACCCCTCATTTACCAGGACTTGTTGCCTGCAGGACTCTGAGACGGGTTAGAAAGATTGTAGCAGACCCTTCTCACCCTGGACACAAATTCTCTGAGCCCCCTCCCTCTGGCAGGAGGCTGTAGTACATCAGGACCAAGATCTCTCGCCACTGAAACTGTTTGTTCCCATTAGCAGTTGGTCTCATAGACCAAGTCCCGAGTCTCCCATTGACCCAATACTTCGTCCCCGGAAACAATTTTGCACAGTGGTTTCTCTTACCATGGAAACCCATACATTAGTGTTTTAACGTACTTATCTATTTATATTGTTTTTGCTTGTATATTATTATTATTATCTTATTTTACATTATTGTATTCTTATATTGCACCAATTCATCAAGTCATATTTGTCTATGTGTAAATATGTGGTAATAAATGGCTTCTGATTCTGATGGCCCACCTCTAACATAGCTGACATCGATTGAAGCATACAGAACCCTGTACTGCAAAGTAGTTTACTTGGAACGTTTCAGGTAGCATTGACAGAGAACATGAGGGTTTGCCACAGTTTCCATTACCAGCAGAGTCTAAAATAAATTAGAGAAACAAGCTACTTCAACAAGTACTGTACTTGGGTTTTTGGGGATTTGCCCATGTGAAATTTGGAATCAGCATGTCTGACAAGACATCTGACATGGATCTGTGTGTGTATTTTTTTGCATTCATATTTTAATATGAATTAAAATGTATGTCACTGTAACAGCTTTAAATGCTAACATTTTGTCCTGTACTCACCAGTGTTGAAGCCTCTGCCCAGAGCCGGCCAGGGTCGATGGTTCTTCCACAGATTTCCCAGGTACCAGTCACTCTGGTTCTCTACCAGACCAAGGACCTGCTGACCTGCATCAGAGCACCACATTATTACTTCTTCACATTCGCTACTTATTTTCTCATATTATTTATTTAAATATAATTCTTAAGAGTTTATTTCAGCTGTATAATATACTGGCATGGTCCTTATCTAATCTCACGGCCTTGAGGTGTACTACATGTAATTTACCCATTAAAACCCATTCATACACTGATGGAAGGTTTACCATAAAAATGTATGAATACAATGAATACAGAAACAGACTACACTAGTGCTTTTCTATTTATCCAATCATTCAAAGCACTCCAAACTTCATGTCGTCATTCACCATTCATACACTGATGAAAGTCTGTCTACCAAACGCAGTGCCCATCAGTAGTCCTATCTACAGGAGCAATGTTGGGGTGAAGAGCCAAGGACATATGGACACGCGGGTTAGCAGGGGCTGGGATGAAACCGCCGCTCCTCTGATTGGACCACATTCTTCACTCGCCCGGAGTCCTTTCTGCAAGGTACTATGAGGACTATCGAACCATTCATACCCATTTCTACAGCCAGAGATGGGCAAAAATACACCAAAAAGTATTTTGATAGAAAATACACCTCAAATAAATATGTTAAAAGAAAATACAAAAGGCTGACTTCATCTCCGGCTTCGCTATCCAGCAGTCACTCGACTTCCTCGCTCTCACCGAGACCTGGATCACACCTGAGAACACCACCAGCCACCCCCGCCGCTCTCTCCTCCGCCTTCTCCTTCAGCCACACTCCCAGGCCCACTGGTAGGGGTGGTGGCACAGGTCTACTCATTTCACCCAAATGGAGCTTTTCTCTTTACCCTCTACCACCATTCACCCCATTGTCCTTTGAATTCCATGCTGTAACAGTCACTCACCCGGTACAATTAACCATCGTTGTCCTCTACCGTCCGCCAGGCTCCTTAGGTCATTTCTTGGAAGAACTGGACTAATTTCAGTTCTCCTGTCTAATTTCCCTGAAAATGGACCTCCGCTCATCCTCCTGGGTGACTTCAACATCCAGACAGAGAAGTCATCTGACCTCTTACACCTACTTTCTTCCTTCGCTCTGTTACTCAGTCCCTCTCCTCCTACTCACAAAGCCGGCAATCACCTTGACAACATCTTTACTAGAAACTGCTCTACCACTAACCTCTCTGTAACTCCACTTCATGTGTCTGATCACTTCTTCATCTCTTACTCCCTTCCACTCTCTATAACTAACAAACCTTCCTCTTTGACTAACTCTGTACCGGCTCGTTGCAATATTCGCTCCTTCTCTCCCTCCTCGCTGGCATCCTCTGTTCTATCAGCTCTCCCTTCAACTGATTCCTTCTCACTCTTGCATCCGAACGCTGCTGCAGAGACTCTCCTCTCAACTCTTTCCTCCTCTCTAGACTCTCTCTGCCCTCTTACGACACGACGGACTGGCAAATCCCCTCCGGCTCCATGGCTGTCTCAACCGGTGCGTGCCATGAGAGCCACCATGCGAGCATCGGAAAGGAGATGGCGTAAATATAAACGACCTGACGACCTGCTTAAATTTCAATCTCTCCTCTCCTCGTTTTCTGCTTCTATCTCTGCTGCCAAAAGCTCTTTCTACCAATCCAAAATTTAATCTTCATTCTCTAACCCCAAAAAACTCTTATCGATCTTCTCCAATCTCCTCGAACCCCCTACCCCTCCTCCACCCTTCTTCCGGGAGACTTTGTCAACTACTTCACCAAGAAAATAGCTGACATACGCTCCTCCTTCTCAAACCCACTTCCTACTTCTCGCGTCCCACCGACCTCACCTCTTTCGCCCTCTCTTTCCTCTTTCACCGCCCTCTCTCCTAACCAAATTCTTACCCTAGTAACCTCTGCCCGTCCGACCACCTGCCCTCTTGACCCCATTCCATCACATCTTCTACAATCTATCGCACCTGACCTTCTTCCGTTCCTCACCTGTCTCATCAACAACGCTCTGTTATCTGGCTGTTTTCCCAATTCTCTGAAGGAGGCAAGAGTCAACCCCCTCCTGAAGAAACCTACTCTCAACCCTTCTGAAGTAAACAACTACAGACCGGCCTCTCTTCTTCCCTTTTTGTCCAAAACCGTTGAACGTGCTATCTTTAATCAACTCTCCTCTTATCTCCACTGTAACAACCTCCTTGACCCCCACCAGTCAGGTTTCAAGGCAGGCCACTCCACAGAGACTGCTCTCCTTGCTGTCTCAGAGCAACTCCACACTGCTAGAGCCGCCTCTCTCTCCTCTGTCCTCATCCTTCTGGACCTCTCTGCTGCATTTGACACGGTCAACCACCAGATCCTTATTTCCTCCCTTCAGGAACTTGGTGTCACAGGCTCTGCTCTCTCCCTTCTCTCATCCTACCTCGACGGCCGCACCTACCGGGTAACCTGGCGAGGATCTGTGTCGGAACCTTGTCCTCTTACTACTGGAGTTCCTCAGGGTTCCGTGCTGGGTCCCCTCCTGTTCTCGCTTTACACCAACTCTCTTGGCGCTGTCATTCGCTCGCATGGCTTCTCTTACCACAGCTATGCCGATGACACCCAACTAATTCTCTCCTTCCCTCACTCGGACACCCAGGTGGCGGCTCGGATCTCTGCCTGTCTAACTGACATCTCTCAGTGGATGTCCGCCCACCATCTGAAAATCAACCCCGACAAGACTGAACTACTTCTCTTTCCCGGAAAAGATTCGCTTACCCAGGACCTGACAGTCAACTTTGGAAACTCCATGCTAACGCCCACTTTGACCGCTAAGAACCTCGGCGTCACACTCGACAGCCAACTCTCCCTGACTCCCAACATCACCGCGAC